TGTTAGACAGGATACTGGGCTAGATGGACCTTCGGTCTAACCCAGTATGACCAGTCTTATGTTCTTATGGTCTTATGTCTACACAGCAGGACAAAAGTCAAATTAAGCTACGCAACTGAGCTATATCAATTATGAAGATTATGTCAAAATAGCTTAATTTGACTTTTGGCACTCTCTACACAGCAGAAAGTCGAAGTAAGAACACTCTTCCTTCAATGTCCCTTGCTCCTCATAAGTTGAGGGTTACAGAAGTCAAAGTAAGAATTCCTCCACCTCACCCTTATTTCTAAATAATGGCTTGTAGTGTAGACACACTCAAATTTGTTATTTCAGAATTACGTTAGTCTATTTAGACTATAACGCTGCTGTATAGACATAGCCTGTGAATGCCATGGCATTCTGCACAGAAATTGTGATTTATCACAGTGTGCTTGGTACTGCTCTACTGTGCACCAGCTGCATTCTGCACCAGTGTTGCTGTATGTGACCAGTAGATGATTATTTCTTGTAAAACACCAGGCACACCTATGACAAAGAAAATAGGTCACTTGGAATGAGGACTTTAAGGCTACGTCTACACTGTGGGCTTTTTGTGGAAGAGGAAATGCAAATGGAGCACTAATTTGCATATCTTCGTTTTTGAGGAAGAGGTTTTTGCATTAAAAAGCCCTGTGTATATAGGACCATTTGTTGGAAAAACCTCCTTTTGCACAAAATCCCTTATTCCTCAAAAAATGAGGTTTATGGGCTCTTGCACAGAAGTTTCCTTACCACTATCTTGAGAACCTGACTATGAAAAATAAATAGTGGCCATCTAAAAATGGGTGACGGTGATCTCTGTATAGCAGAAAGAAAGATTGGCTCCATGGGTTCCATGGGAACAGCCACTTCATAAAACAAAGCACAACACTTTTCTGCCCACTGTAAAAACAAACCAAAGAAAAGCAGTTCTCCATCAACCTTAACATGTTACACTGTTCTAGAAGGCTATGTCTATACTGCATGATTATTTTGGAATAAGCCATTCTGGAAGAAATACTCCGAAATAGCTTATTTTAAAATAGCGCGTCTACACACCAAATGCCCATAGAAATAGCGCTTAGCTATTTCAAAATAGAGTGTTCACATACATTGGATGCTGAATTGCATTTAAGGCCACCCAGAAGCACTTCAAGCAGGGCATCAGGATAGCGCTCACTTCCCATGACGGCTGTCTGAGGCTATCTGAGGCTCATGCTTAAAGGGACCCCCCTCAGTACAGCAGTATCTCAGTCTCTTCTCTTTTGCCTTCTTCATTGAGGGACAGCAAACCCATTCCTTTGCCTGTTGTGATTCCCCTTGTGGACACCTCAGAACTTCAGCTATGAAGCCGAAGCTGCCTCTGGGCAATTGACGGCTCTTGCAGTTTGTGCTGCACTTCATGCAGCAGTTTCTACAGGCTGCCTTCCAAGCACTGCAGGAACCCAACCAACTGCCTGTTCATCTTGGAGACACTCATCATCTCTCTGTGGGAGTGGATCATGCTACTGGATGCCACCTGCTCTCCCCAGCACACCGTGCACCACCACTTCTGGCATCTGGATACCAGTTCTGACAGGTGGGACTGGTTTATCGTGAAGTGGCAGGATGATTAGCAGTGGCTCCAGAATTTCTGGATGAGGAAGGATAACTTTCTGGAGCTCTGTGAGCTGCTCACCCCTGCCCTCAGGCAATGGTGCACACACATGCAACCCACCATGCCCCTCCAGAAGCAGGTCATCATCTCCCTGTGGAAGCTTGCCATGCCAGACAGCTACCAATCCATCGGGAACCAGTTTGGCATGGGAAGATTGACCATTGGGACCCTGCTCATGCAGGTATGGCCCTCTTGAGCTATTGTCCCAGGAGGGTGGTGGACTGCTGGAATGAGGTTCCCTAGAGAAAGGGGAGGATTGTTGTTAGTGGTGATTATGGTGGTGCAGTTGTGGAAGCCCCCTTTCTGGAAGGTTTTTCAGTCCTGCTCTCACAAAGCCCTGCCAGGGGATGGGGTAGGAGGAGGGTTGCTCCTGTTGTGCGATCCTCAGGCCACAAAGGCCAAGCAAGAAGTGCACAGCTTGTGATGGCACTCACCTGATGTAGCTTCTCTGGCCTCAGACAATGCCTGGGACATGTCCAGAGAATTGGGTATCAGCTCCAGCATCAGCATGGTGCTTGTCTCATCCAGCTCATCCTCTTCCTCCTCCTCCTCTGCATCTCTGCACCCTGTGAGGCTGATGACAGGCATCTCGAGCCCTGAGTCCACTATCCTTTGTATACGGTGCAGGTGCTCATAGTAGGGACAGGTGTGGGGTTCTGCCCCAGAGTGGGAGCTGCACTTTTAGACCTTGGCATATGCCTGACAGAGGTTTTTAACTTTTTCATCTGCACCTACTCCTGGGTATAGATGTGCCCCTTGGTGGCCAGGCTGTCAGCCATGCAGTCATAGACATTGAGATCCTGGAGGTTGTTCTTGTTGTCCCAAATCTCAATAAGGTCCAGGATCTTCACACCAGACCAGGAAGGCTTGTACTAGTTCAAAAATATTTCGAAATAATGGGCTAACTGTGTAAATACTCGCATAGTTATTTTGGAACAACAGATGTTATTTAGAAATAATATGGCTGTGTAGATGTACCCTAAGAGATGATAGGAGTATTATATTAAAGTAAGTTAAAGCTAACACAAATGAGTCTAAAATTATAGATTACATCTTATAGACTTACTTCTTATTTACTTCAGTCCTTATACGTTGCTTTGGTGGTGTAAAGGGACTTAAAAATTGGGAATAAATTAAACTAGTTTAAGGCCCATTTGCACTACCAGAGTAATGTAAAGGGGACTTAATGCAAATGAGAATAAGGGCGTCTGATGGATGGGAGGATTGCTGTCCTTTTTTTAGACATCCCAGCATTCAGTAACTAAATGGTTAAATCAGGTGGCTAGGAAATGTTGGCAGAGAGCCAGGTGAACTAACGGGAAGAATGTGTTTCTTCCTATTGAGTGTCTTTATCTCACTGTAAGTTTGGTTTACCAAAGCTTGAGTAGTAGTTGTCATTCTATGTCAGAATGCTTTGTGATTTTTCATCAACTGGTGGCCATCTCGTGAGGCCGTATTCCAGTAATGGTCTCACTAGTGCCATATACATATAGGGGTATACAACATCTCCTTACTTCTACGTATGATTCCCTTTCTTATTAATCCAATGACCACATTTACAGTCTTAACCTCTATATCACACTATGAACTCACAGAAATGTGGTGACTAACATTGATTTTTGTCCATAATAGAGGATGATTTTGGCCAAAATTCACGTTGGCTATAACTGCATATCTCCATTAGATGCTTTCAAATACACAGTAGTCAATCAAAGAACATATCAGTTTTAAAATTAGCCTTTATGAGAAAGAAAGCAAGAAAGAAGGAAGTTTTTTATTTAAAATATTTTAGACTGATAAATAGATTTAACACATTAAAGGCTAGTGCAGATTATTATGAAGATTTTTTTAAAAGCACTAATTGAAAACAACAGATGAGACATAATACTTCTGACTTTCTCATTATAAAAAAATTAATTTTGGCTTCATTTTACCATATTCAGCTATATTAGTTACATAATGACAATGAACTTCTGGGGGTGGCTTAATGAGTCAGATTTCTATCAGGGAAACATTGAATTAAAACATGATTAATGGCAATTTCAACATATCTCACAAAGATACTGAGACAGTCCTGTAATTTTGTCTGTGCTTACTGAAATTTAGGAACATCATTTTACTTTACAACATGAATCTCTGTAACAGGGCAGCTGCCCTGTACTGGCCCTTTAAGAGTCAAACCCCAGCCTGGAGCAGGCCGGGGAGTTCAGCCCAGCTGGGCGGCATTGGCCAATTAAGGCCCAGCTGGGAGCCATAAAAGGGGAGGGCTGCTTCAGAGAAGGGAGTGTGGGCCTGGCTGCCGGGGGAGCAGGACGCTCCCTGGAGCTAGGGCAGGGCTAGAGAGTCAAGGCTGGGCCAGGGGCGCTCGGACAGACAAACTGCCAGCCTGCTAGGCCTGAAGTAAGGCCTGCCGGAGAGACACCAACCCCCGGAAGGGGGGGGCTCAGAGCGAGTGACTTGGGCACTGCCGGAGGGCAGTGTGGCAAAGAGAACGATGTGACCGGAGGATTCCAGAGGGGAAACCCCACGTGAGCGGAGGCCCCGTGTGGGCGGAATGGACTGATTCCGGGGACAGACGACGGACCCCCACTACGGTGGTGAGTGACCCCCTCACAATCTCCTTAACTAATTAATACTAGGAGACAGGATTTCCTACAAAGACAAACAAGACATGCCAACTACTGCCAACATCATTGGGTTGGATGTTACTTGTAATACAAAAATATTTCCACTTTACCTATTTTGTCTTATGTTGTTCCTGCAAAAGATGAGTCTCCTTAGTCCCATAAAAGTAAAGTGCTTGTCCATGGGCCTCCCATGTCAAGCCAGATCTATTTGCTATTTCTACATTTTAACTTGGTGGCCTTTGGAAGTTCAGTCTTAGACAAAGATTGTCCCTGGCTGCCTCTAAACCAGCAAACTCCTAAATTAAACTATTACCCAGATGTGATCTCCTTCTCTTTGCTTCCACTAGTACTTCAAGCTTCAATGTTCACCTCATGTGAAGACCTGATATGTGAATTATGAAATCCAGAACAGCCATGAAACCCAATACGCACAATGTGGTCCAAGATCTAGCCCTAACTAGACCCAATACAAAATTGTTTTTTAAGAAATAACTGGATAACAAAGGCCTTTTTTCAGGTTCTATTTCTTTTGCTAAAACAAGAAAGACGCTAAATTAAACACGATATGACAATTTATGCTACATTTTCCTTTCATTTTGTACAGACATACTAATGTTAGCAGCTTCATTCAAATGCTATAAGCCCAATTCTGTATTTGTGTCAACCAAATCAGTAATATATGCATAATTGTTACTTACAGTTCTGTGTTAAAAAGTGATTTGACTGTCTGCTTGTATTTGCGATATTGCTCCCATTCAGCTTTGGCATGTTCTGTTACTAAGTCTTCCACAGGCACTTTAGGTATGCCCAGCTTCTCAGCAAACTGGTTAGCACCTCTTCCAGTAAGCATCACATGAGGTGTCTAAAAATAAATCAGAGAATGAAACAGAATAATAAAAATAACCTTTGCTGATATTAACTGCATGATATATAAACTTATTGTTACATTTAAAGTATCTGTTCCTTTCATGCACAGAGGACCTAATTAGAATCACAGTCCCATTTTGGTAGGTCTTATGTAAACATATTTCAAGAGACAGACCATCATGTAAAGAGTTTATAATCTAATCAAAGTTCTGAATGTTTAAAAAGATTCGTAGGCTGATGTCTTGAAAGTTGCCTCAGGAGTTTGGATTTCCAGGAATAAATGTATCTCAGTGTTAAGGATTGAAATGCTGTCTAATTTGTTTTGGGGCCTACAACAAGGCAAATTTTAATCAGCCACTTAATTTCCTCTATGATAAATTATACATGATATCAATGATAAAGAAACAATAATTTCAGTCCACCACTTTTTATTTCTCCCCTTTCCCATTTGAATCTCATTGTCTAAATTTCCCCATTTCTATTTACAAATTTTCCTTGTCTTCATTTTTTTGTTTCTTCTCTCATTTTTTTTTCTTCTTGTCCTTAAGTGCAGGGTCAGTATGATAAGTATCATGGTTTTAATTACTACTCTCATTATTAAATTGTGCTTGCTGCATTTCTGAGAACAAAGGATATAGCATTCCTACTCTCTATTTGTATAAAGTGTTTCTCCATAGAATACAAGAGAAAGCTGTTAAAACCCCCTTTTTAAAATATGGAAGGAAATCCCATCTTCTCAATGGCCTTCTGCAGAACTAGTGTTATTCTACTCACTTGTGCTGGGTAATGGAGCAGGATGTGGGTACCCTACACAGAGGGTCTACATTCCAGGTGCATTACAGATCCAATCTCTGTGGTGACTTTCTGCATGTCCTATACATCAGGGATATGAGCAAGAAGACTGAAAGGGTACAACTACAGCAGTATTTCTCAGACTGTGGGTTGGAATGCCAAAGTGGGTCAGAAACCTATTTTAATGGGGTCACCATAGCTGGCAATGCAAAGACAAAGCCGCACCACCTGGCACCAAAAGTCAAAGCCTAAGGGCATTAGTACTAGGCAGCAGGGCTCAGGTTACAGTCCCTGTGCCTGGGACTGAAGCCCTTGGGTTTCAGTTATGAACTGCCCTCCCCCACAGTGATGGGAGTCAGATAAGCTCAGGTGTAAGTCCCCCTGTTGGGATCATGTAGTAATTTTTGTTGCCAGAAGGGGATCATGATGCAAAGAAGTTGGAGAACTCCTGATGTACAGCAATTTGTTCTAACTAACTAGGTTGTAATAAATCCGAGAAGGCACGAAGCATTTTCCAAACTCAAAGGAAAGATAGGCATGGTCCCTTGTGGGGAGTGACTCCACTTTTAATGGCTAACCTGAGGAAAAATGGAGAATTTGAGCCTGAAGGAGGAGCAGGAAGAATCTGAACTATTATTTGCGTAAGTTAGGTCAGAAGAGACATACAAAAAGTCAAGTTGCAATGTGCTGCAAGTGATGACAATGCAATTGTAACAGCTGTACCTTGGGATTTCCTTAATGTGGTCCTTTATATTAGTAGTAATGTTTTTACATTGGAGTCAGTATCATTACTCTAAAGATAAAGATATTTGTGCCTCTCCATCACCGGCATCCTTTATTTGGATCTGAAGACAATTCATTAGGGCAGATGGTTCCTGTACCAGGGAAAAATGTTTTCCATTTCAATTCATGTTTTGTCATGTCATTTCTCTTGTATTTTATTTTCATATTTATTTCACAAGGAATAATTCCAAAGAATCTCTTTACTATCTTGTGATAGACAGATTCATTTTTGTTGGAGAAGTAAAAGCATTAGAGTTCCGCTAACAAACCCTATGTTTGATAGCATCAGTTCTGCTAACAAATCCAATATTTTGACAGGGTTTTTTAAAAGTCCTTTATATTATTGCAATATAAAAGTATAGTATTTAGATTTAAATTTTCCCCGCGGCATTTGCATGAACATGGCTGCCGCTTTTTTCCGGCTTGGGGCTTTGACGGAGAAAAGCGCCAGTCTAGACAGGATCTTTCAGAAAATAAAGCCTTTTCCGGAAGATCCCTTATTCCTGATTTTAAGAGGAATAAGGGATCTTCCGGAAAAGGCTTTATTTTCTGAAAGATCCTGTCTAGACTGGCGCTTTTCTCCGTCAAAGCCCCAAGCCGGAAAAAAGCGGCAGCCATGTTCATGCAAATGCCGCGGGGAAAATTTAAATCCCCGGGGCATTTGCAATTCCGACTGGTCTCATTAGCATCCCTTTTCCGGAAAAGGGTGCCAATGTAGACACAGCCCAGGAGTTTCTTCCACTATACTATGGCTCAATAACATTAACTTTATATTTATATAAACTAATTGTATTCTGAATACTTAGATTACATCAAGGCATGTCTAGATGATATCAACATATGCAAGGGTCACTTCTTATGACAAAACAACACCCCAATATGTTACCATGTACAGCATACACTACAGATACACAATAATTAGAACTAGGACCTCTGGTCATAAGAATATAAGAATGGCTGTTCTGGGTCAGACCAAAGGGCCATCTATCCCAGTATCTTGTCTTCCAACAGTGGGCAATGCCAGATGCTTCAGAAGGAATGAACAGAACATGTCATCATCAAGTGATCCATCCTGTCACATATTCCTAGCACTGACAAACAGAGACAAGGGGCACCATCCCTACCCATCCTGGCTGTTAGCCACTGATGGACCTTTCATCCATCGATTTATTTATTTCTTTATTTTGGAGGATGGGGATTGGGCGATGTGAAAGTAAGTGAAATCTGCAAGGCACAGATTAACTCTACACAATACTATGTAAAAATCACTACCTTAGAAGTAAAAAACAAATCTACCACAATGTGAAATTGATCTAGACACTAACTATTTGCAATGAAAGTATTATGTATGTGAAGGAAAATCTGCCTATATGTTTGTACTAGTGTACCTGCACAGAAATCAACAGGTGTACTAATATAGTGGGGAACAGAATGTGACTCACAGAGAATGCTAATGAACACTGTATATTTATCATATTGTAGTGGAATGTAGTATTACTGTTGAAAGGTTCATCTTTGTTCAAGATATATGAAAATGGAAAGAATGGAATTGTAATCCTAGGAGTAGGGAACTGTGTGAAGAAGAGAGGGATTTGTGGTGAGTTATTCCCAATTGTGGAACATAAATGTGTTTTTATGTCAAGAGCATTTAGATAATATAGGTGGGAACCCTTATTTAGCATTTATGTAACTATAAAGGAATTCCTACTGATATTACTGGATATGTTCTTGTTAGGTTCACTGACCACTTATACATGAATGGTGAATATAAGAGCCAGCCTGCAACCTTTGGAGTATGCCACCAAATGGCTCCTGGTCCATTGTGCTGCTGTGCTCTACCCTGAGGACCTGTTCATCCTCTTCCCTCTGAGGCCCCACCCTCACTTCACCTCTTCCCATCTCTGGTCCACCTACATGGGGGCCTCATGAGAAGGGCATAGTCAGCTTCAGTGAAGGGGGCCAAGCAAGGCTGATGGTGGACATGGGCGGGGATTCAGTGGGAGAATGCTGAGTGGGACTAGGCCTTTGGGTGAGGCCACGGTCCAGGCACTCCAATTTTTCCAAATGGAGGAGTCATGTGACACTGCTGCACTTATATAAGAGTGGTGATGCTTGTCCTAGCCACAAGTGTTGAAGTATTAGAATTAGTTTAATTAAAATTCATTTTGGTTGGAAATATGAATGAAGAACATTGTTCCACAATATCAGTTTTTCTTGTTTCTCAGTTCATTCCATAAAATATATATTTTAATTGAAGAAATATTTTGCAAGAGGTTTGCAGGTTTAGATAGGAAAATGAAATCTGTAAATATTAAAAGAAGCAAACAAAAAGTATCATTGTTCTGTGTTGATAAAAAGCTAAATTTTAGTGAATATACATGTTCAATTGATTCCAATATTAGAGGACAAGTCTTATTTAACTTCAGAAGAGATGATGTTAAAAAAAAGTATACTTTAATGCTATACTATTGATCAGTCTAAAAGATACTGTTTCTGACTTGTGTCTATCCTATAAAATAATTGCATAACAAGCTACTCATATTTTGTAAAATCCTGCTGGAGGAACGCTAACATCCATTATGATAAAGGCCCCAAATGTCATTCTTAACACAAATGTATTAGAGATTTGACATGTAGCACCACAGCCCCAATATGCTAACCAATGAGCCTGACAGAGAAGTGATTAACGACCTCAACCCACCTATTATACAACACAATCCATAACCTCTGAGCCAAATCCATGTTTAAACTTGTGTATGTAGAACTATACATGAATTTTCTTACTCAAACAACTTCCCATGAGAGTATGCATCAGATTTAATATAAGTTGCAGAACTTACTTATCAAAACCACTCAGTCTAATATTTATAAGACTTTTGCTGATGTAGGTTCAAAGGTACTATGGATTTTTAACAGTCTGCTTTAGAAATACAAGCTCATATTTCTTGGAAATATGCTTGAATATTTCTTGTACAAAAATAATATGTAAAAGTAAAATGCAGTTAGTATTATAAAATAATCATGCAGTACAATGGAAATCCTCTTTTTTGTTACATGACATGAACCTGGACATTTTACTGTATGTTTATACTCAAAGAAAAAGCATGAATGTTCAAACATTTAATTCAAATTTCATTTAAACAGAATGATCTCTCAACTGTCCATAGATGCTAAAATTGGAAGACCATTGGAAGACTCCTAAAGCATCCAGACCATCTCCTGCCAATTTTCCAGTGTTTTATTCAAAGTGTTAAGGTTTCTCTTGGCTTAGGGAATATTCTACAGCCTAATGCATCTCGCTGAAAGAAAGATGCTCTAGTATTAGTATTAGTATAATTTTCCACTACAGTAGCAAATAGGAAGGCACATTACTTATAGAAGAAAATGACAGTGCCTGCCCAGAAGAGCTTACAATCTAAG